GCAGTCTGTATGTTCTGACTCAGCCCCTAAACAGTAGGAATCATTCTTACTGCCCTTTAACAGTGAAAATTAAACAATAATAACATTATTGTTGTTTGTTGATACTTGTAACTCTTCGTTATTATACTGTATCAGCTTGATCGACCTCTGTTAGCACATGGGCTCTTATGCGGATGCCTTGATATTGCCCAAATAATTGTTGTTATAACTGGCTTGGTTGTTGCTGGTAGTGGGAATCCAGGACTCACGTTTCGTCTAGTATAACAAAGGAGAATTGCAAGTATCGACAGATGGTAATAACTAATACCCGTCATATAAGAGGGTGGTTTTCATGCCTCAATAGCCTAGCGGATAACGCTTCAGCGTCCGAAGCAGTTGGTATGAGCTTCGAGACTCGGTGACAGACACATAGTGTCCACGTAGAAGCTCACCTGGTACACCAGTGTATCACTTCAAGTTGCCACACTTCTCAGTAGTACACAAAGACAAAAGGATAAAATGAGTTACACCAGAGTGGATAAAGTTGTATGGGAGAAAAAACAATGAGGATAAAGGTTAGTACTAATATTCGAGCTTTAGAAGACGTCAAAGAGTGAGTAAATCTGCGCCACTACGACTGATTTTCAGCCGTTTCCCCAATAGTCCTCAATCACTGGTTCTTCTTATCTCGGCAACCCAGCCAGGTTGTCTACATCTCACAAAATGACCCAGACCAACAATCAAGGACTTCATCGACTGGTGTCATGTCTTGTTCCATCTACCCTGAACCCTCTTCCAACTTAACTCAGCTTATCCTAGCAAGGTAACCTCGCCTGGTTAACTAGTTTACTAGTTACTAGCCGGTCCTAAGCCCGGGTAAAGAGGGAAGGTTGGGCATAGGGCTAGCAACCCTACCCCGTAAAACAAATCTAACCGCTAAAGAAACTTCAAAGCACAAACAAAATATAAAAAATGAAAACAAACTTATTCCCCGCTGGAATCGGAGAGGCGAAATGACGCCAGTTGGTGAAAGCCTTCGGGAAGCCAATTGGCCGATGTGTCTTCTCTCGATGAAAGCGAAAGTAAACGTGGGGACATGGAATGTCCGCACGATGTTTGAACCCAGTAAGGCAGCCCAGATTGCAAAGGAGATGAGAAGGTATAACATCGAAGTGCTTGGGATTTGCGAAAGCAGATGGAATGGGAGTGGACTCTCCAAACTGTCAACTGGAGAATCAATAATCTACTCCGGTCACCCAGACGCCAACCACGAGCACACTGAGGGAGTGGCTATCATGATGTCCTCAAGAGCATCGAAGGCTCTCATGCAGTGGGAACCAATCTCCTCCAGGATCATGACAGCAAGGTTCAACTCAAAAGGAAGAAAGGTCACAATCATACAATGTTATGCACCTACAAATAATGCAGAGCAAGAGAAAAAGGAGGATTTCTACAGACAACTTCAATCAACACTGGACAAGACGTCAGTTGGCGATATCAAAATTCTAATGGGCGACATGAATGCCAAACTGGGAGGGGACAATACGGGAAGAGAACTAACCATGGGTCGAGAGGCGCTAGGTGAAATGAATGAGAATGGAGAATTGTTTGCAGAATTCTGTGCATTCAACGATTTGGTGATTGGAGGCAGTGTGTTCAGGCACAAGGATATCCACAAAGCGACATGGACTTCACCAGATGGACACACTAAAAATCAAATCGACTTTATCTCAATCTCAAGAAAATGGAGACGCAGTCTACTTAACACAAGGTCAAGAAGAGGAGCAGATGTAGGTTCAGACCACTATCTAGTGCAAGGAACCTTCCAAATCAAGTTAAAAGCCTTCAAGGAAGCTGGTGATAGACCTCAATTCAAGTACAACACTCGGAAACTGAAGGATGAAACTACAAAGGAGATCTTCAAAGCAGCCATCAAGACAAAATGGGAGACGTCGAGGGACATCCCTGAAGAAACCTGTGTGGAAGAACACTGGAAGTCTTTGAAAGCTATGTGGAAAGAAACCTGCACAGCCGTATTAGGAAGGAAGAAGAAAGAAGACAAGGAATGGATCTCGACGGATACCTGGAAGCTGATAGAGGAGAGGAGGATGGTGAAGCAGAAGATAAACCAGTGCAAGGATGCTCAACGACAAGAGGAACTGAGCACAATGTATAAAACACTGGACAAAGAAGTGAAGAAGAGTGCACGCAAAGACAAAAGACACTTCTACGACACACTGGCAAGTGAAGCAGAACAGGCTGCAGGTAAGAGAGACCTGACGACATTGTATCAAATAACCAGGTTGCTATCAGGGAAGAGACCAACACAGATGAAACCAATAAAAGATGAAGAAGGAAATTTAATTACAAAAGAAGAGAAACAGAGGAAACGATGGGCCGACCACTTCAAGAAGCTCTTGAATCGACCACCACCTGCACTTCGTCCAGAAATACCACCTGCAGCCGCTGAATTACAAGTGAACATAAATCCCCCAACGAAAATGGAAGTCCTGAACGCCATAAAGCTACTGAAAGGTGGGAAAGCAGCAGGACCAGATGGAATACCGCCAGAAGCACTGAGAACAGATGCAGAGACAACAGCGGACATGCTCACACCACTATTGCAGAAGGTGTGGAAGGAAGAGAAGGTACCTGACGATTGGAAGAAGGGTTACCTTGTCAAACTGCCGAAGAAGGGAGACCTCAGTGCTTGCAAGAACTGGCGCGGAATCACTCTCCTGTCCACCCCAAGTAAAATATTAAGCCGCATCATCCTGGAGAGGCTTAAAGACGCACTGGATTCAAAACTGCGACCGGAACAGGCAGGCTTCAGGAAGTACAAATCATGTGCTGACCAAATTGCAACGCTTCGTATCATCATAGAACAGAGCGTAGAATGGCAATCAGCTCTATACCTCAACTTCATCGACTTTGAGAAGGCCTTTGACAGCGTCGACCGAGAAGTAATTTGGAAACTGCTTCAATACTACGGAGTACCGCAAACCTTTATCCGCCTCATTCAACAACTATATGAAGATGCCACATGCCAAGTAATCCACAATGGGAAGCTCAGTGATGCCTTTGAAGTGAAGACAGGAGTGAAACAAGGTTGCCTACTATCCCCCATGATATTCCTTATTGTGGTGGACTGGATCATGCAGCAAACAGTAGGCAGCGAGAAGAGGGGGATACACTGGACGACGGAAAAGAACCTAGAAGACTTGGATTTCGCCGATGACTTGTGCCTAATGTCACATAAACTTGAAGATCTGCAGGCAAAAACTAACAAGTTGACAGAAGAGGCAGCTAAGACGGGACTTCAGGTGAATATAGAGAAGACAGAAGTGATGAAGATACCGCACCACCACCATCAACAACAACAACAAACTCCAATCACCGTCAACGGGAGAAACTTGAAGGAAGTAACCTCCTTCACTTATCTAGGAAGCACTGTTTCAACTACAGGCGGGACGGACGAGGACGTCAAAGTCAGAATCGGAAAAGCAAGACAGGCGTTCATTAGCCTGAAACCAGTGTGGAGATCTTCTGCACTCAGCATGCGGAACAAGATACGGATTTTCAACACCAACGTCAAGTCAGTGCTCTTGTATGGCTCAGAGACTTGGCGCGCCACGAAAGGTATTTCCAATAAACTACAGACATTCATCAACAACTGCTTACGCTCGTTGCTGAAGATCAGATGGCCAGAAAAAATAAGCAACAAGGAACTCTGGGAACGAAGCAACCAAGAACCTATCACGCAACAAATATGCAGGAAGAAGTGGAGATGGATTGGGCATGCACTGAGAAGGCCGACTGAGGACATCACGCGTCAGGCCCTCGAGTGGAATCCCTATGGGAAGCGACGAGTTGGACGTCCGAGGGTGACATGGAGGAGGTCATGCGAGGAGGAAATGAGAGCTTCTGGGCTGTCGTGGAACCAGGTTCAAAAGATCTCAGAGAACAGAGGTCACTGGAGGCGTGCTACTGAAGCCCTATGTTCCACTCGGAACCCAAGGGACTAATAATAATAATAATAATAATCCTAGCAAGGTACGTCGAGGTAGGTGGTGACTTGGCATGTGCGACACATGTCCGAGCCACCTCAGCCGATGAATGTTCACAACATCATCAGTTGACTTGGTTCATTGCCTGGTACCCTTCGCCTGACCTCAACATTGCTCACACTTTGATTCCACCAAACAGAAGTCTCAATGGGAATAAAGTCACCCACTGGGGTGAAGGCACGCACATCCAACTGACGATTCCTGAATAAAACAAAACGCGCGTACTGCATTCCACTGCCTGTCACAATGAGGTCAACAGTAATGATAGCATTTCTGGTTAGTAAAATAATCAGCCTTTTTCTACTGTAGTCATATGTAGTGATATCTGGAAAACATTTATTTTGAATTAGCTTATCACCATCGACCTTACCTTGATGTGTGTGTATTTTTCTCAACAAAACAAAAAATATCAACCTGTTGACAACAGTGACTGTAGAGACAGCCTAACGACTACTGAAATATTTAATTTGTTTCCTGTATTTTATAAATACTGCCCTTTCAGTCAAAATACTGATATGTAAATGGTCATTTCAGTGGTTGTTTGGGTGGGTTTCAAAATCAAGTGACTCTAAAGGCTACCCAAACAACAACCAAAATAACCAATCAGACTTCTTTATTTTATGAAAATTCACCTTCTTGCCACAACAGTTAAAGCTAATTGGTTGTTTCAGTTGTTGCTAGGGTGATCCTTACAGCCACTCTTAAAATCGCACCCGATAGCAGTTTGGTGAGTAGAAATTTCAAGTTTTTCAAAGTGTAAACAGGGTGTTGATTAATTACAGAAATTCAGGATATTAACTAAAAATGTGTATAAAATATCTTGAAAGTTGGGGCAATTCGCTAAACAGTTGATCGGTCATAGTAATAAATTATCTTGTCAAGTGGTCATTCACTGATGGAAGACAGCTAAGAATAATAAACGATACCTTTAGTGAGATTACAGTAGCACTTTAGGGAAGCAATATGCAAACTCTATCCAACCAACTAGCAAACTACATTTAGTTTTGCAAAGTTATGCTGCTTGTTCTTCAGTCAGTTAATATTAACTTCACAAAGCAATGACATCATTTGAATTCGCCTCTTATATGCACAACTACAAGTCCATTCGCAAATACCAGGTTAGGCACTTAGGTAGTGGCGTTTCAGAATCATCCATCACACAGCAAACAAGATCAATAATAGGTACTATGCTCATACATATGGTTCATAATGGACATCAAATCAACGTAAATGAGTCATCACAAGCTACTCATCGTGTTGCCTCCATTGTTATTCCTGATATGCAATGTAAGCTGTAGAAGTTAGTCACAAAAGTCGACCTGGTAGTTGCAAAAGGAGGTTTATGCACCCTTTTTCTTTACTCGCTTCATCCATATAATTAGAGTTAATAGGAATGAACTATGTAAAATTAACAGTCCTTCTTATCTACTACTTGTGTTTAACCACCTGACAAAATTCCTCGGCATTATCATGCTATAATCCGCCAGTTAGTTCACAACTAGCGCCGAAACTCACTCTTTTAGTTAGTTGGAAGTAATCACCAGGAAGTCTTGGACCCAGATTTCGTACTTGTTGGAGCTCGTCACTGAGGTGTATCTATGACATCGAGAAAAAGTGGTGTCCCCTCTGAGAGTCAAACCCGACCACCCAAGTTTTCAGTCAGCGACGTTACGACTGAGCTACTCAGATCACGAGGCATATGCCTTGCTGACGACTCTCAACAAGCATGAAACCTAGGTCTAGGGTTCCCTGCCAATTGCCTCCAGCCAACTAGCATCCATCAAATTTCACCTCGGTGGTGATCCTCCTAGCATAGTGGCCACATAGCAAAATGATTAACAGAATTCGGTCAGCATTCAGAACTAGGCTGTATGAAAATGGATTCTCTCCAGTGACAAATTAATGTACACTTCTACTGTTTCGATTCCGTAATTAATCATCATCCTGTTGAAATTTCTGAGTAATCATTAACTTCGTATTAACTAGGTGGTTTTCAGAGGATAAGCGTTTTATGCTGTACTATTCAAATAAATTAGTGTTATTTTACAGTCGTTTTTAGGCTTATTTCTGGATTTCGGACTACTTTCATTATACTCTTCGAGAAGTACATTTTACATTGGAAGCATATTTTCAGGATCTTATCTAGTTTTAAGCGTTCTATCAAATTATATGTGCCCTTATAATCAATTCCTAAGTAGAAAAAATAAAATTTATATCGAAACAAATGTTTTAACTGACAGCAGTTGATCTTACGTGATGCCCTCTGATTACAACTTTGTGAAATCCATCTCAAAACAAATACTCAACGATGACATTGGGTGGCGGTTTGCGCTATATCGTGAGCTAACAGAAGTTGGAAATATGGAGCATTGGATTCTGACCCAGTGGCCCAATGGTAACGCGCTGGTCGCGGAACCTGAAGGTCGCGGGTTCGATCCCTGCTGGTGGGGTCGTGGGTGCGCACTGCTGAGGAGTCCCATACTAGGACGAAACAGCTGTCCAGTGCTCCCAGGTTCCCTTTGTTCCTCCAACTGATGTCAGTCTTCGATGAATAACAACTTGAAGTGTTTTAACTGACAGCAGTTGATCTCACGTGATGCTCTCTGATTGCAACTTTGTGAAATCCATCTCAAAACAAAACAGTCATGATTATTGGGCAGTGATCTAGCTGATTGTTAGTAAAGAATCATTGATTTTCAGAGTAGCTTTCATCATAGATCCATAATACTGATGGAACTAATGTCAATCTGTGATAAAAACTGCTTTGAAATAACTTTAGTGTTTTCGTAACCGATTTCGTTGCATAGTGTTTCCTCTGTGCATATTTATCAAAGAAACCGAACATTTATTAAAATGCATCTGATAAATAAGGGCTCCGCTTGTTTCAGAATTTCTAAAATTTCCGCAAACCAGACCTAGAATTACAGCGTGGACTAGTAGATCTCAAAAATGAAAACCAGCAGTTTAGTATACAATGTCACGCAAGTTGACTTTTCAGGTTATTTCTTCGTGTTCAGTTAGCGAGCAACGTGGGTTTCGACATTGATCCAAACACCGAAAAACTGCATATTGTATACTTAAATGAAAAAAACTTATTTGAAAGAACGAAACAAAAATGATCCGCGCAAGTAATACAAATATTCACTGGAAATCTGTCTCCCGCTAACCTAAAGATACGCGTCACTGATTATGAGTAGCAGTTTTTACAAGGTTTTTAGAGTTAAATTCTGAATGTTGACTGTATTAATCTCATCACTGATCTAAAATCCTTTTTCCAAAAACATATTATATGACACAATCAATAGTGGAGTTTGCCATCAATTACAGTCGCCCAATGAAAAAGATATCAATCCTTCATTAGTTTTCTCATGAGACATATTTTACTACAAATAAATTCCTAAGAATCTTCATTTGAAGACTTTTACCTTTGTTTTGTTGATTTACAGTTTAAATACAAATAAATATCAAATATTTTTAAATTAGGAATTAATCAAGAGGGAATTCAAAAAGAAGAAATTGAAAACTCCACAGGTTGACTTAAAATTAGATCTGAATAACAAATTAGTTTAGGAAAATATAATTTTGATGATAAGATAAATCTGTTATCAAACAGTCATCATTGTTAGGATCTAACTTTTTGAAA